CTGGTGCCCTTGCTGCTGCTCTGAAATAGGGTTGGCTCCGAATTTTTTCCAGGACTTTGTGAATCGGGATTCGGAACACAGTTGTAACTGCCTGTGTAGCCCTTAGTCCTATGTCTTGTTTGTTGGATCCATTGTTACCTCGGCCTCACTTCGGCGAGCCCTTTCCTTTTTCTTGCTTCGTCTCCTTAGCTCCTAATGTATCTTCCTCGGCTCTGGCATATTTCTCAATTCTGGCCATAAGCTCTTCCATGCTTTTTGGCAATGTCTTTTCCAAAGACTGTCGTAGTGGATAGTCGTCTTTCAGGCCGTTCTTGAAAGACACGACCACTACCTCCTGGTTGCACTCGGGTATTCAATTGAACACCTCGTAGTACCTTTTTGCGTAGGCCCTAAGGCCTTCGTCCTTACTGATTCTCAGAGCCATCAATGCGTCTACCCTCAATGGTTGTAGTTTGTTTGTCACGAACCTGGCCACGAACATCTCGGTCAGGCCTTCCTAGGTCTTCACACTTCCCTTCGGCAGTTTGTGGGACTAATCTGATGCAATCTCCCCAAAGGATGAGGGGAACACTTTGCAGAGCAACGGCTCGTTTGCACTATTGAGTTCAAATACAATCCAACGTGGAAGTTGGGATCCGACTTACCATCGTATGTTTGGAACCTCGACATACTGAATCTCTTCGGTGCCTCAAATTTGTCCAATTCTACCGAGAATGGTGTTCTCGGCTTAACAGGTGAAGTTACTTCGGCATCGGCATTATGTTGTTTCCTCTTGAGGTAATCTCTCAAGTCTTCCTTGCTTCGCCCAAGAGCTCGGCTATCTCCCGACTTCAGTCTTTTCGAGCATACTACTTTCAGCTTCATTGTGGGCCTTTTTTGACCCTTCTCCATGAGTTGTGTCGAAAACACAGCTCTTGTCTGTGAATATGCGATGTTCTCTAGATCTGCTTCTTTAGGGCGATGTGGCTTCCGAGACTCTTCCTTTCCTGGCTCTCGCACGCCCGACCTCCCTTGAAGGCCGGTGAGAATGTCTTTCGCTTCTTGGGTGCTGGGGGGCTATAGGGATAGTTTTTTATCCTCCCTTCTGGGCATTGGCCGCTGGAATCGGTGGGTCCTGCAGCGGGAATGGTGGCTGCATGACATTATTTTGCATCATGAAATTGACGACCGATTGTAGGTCCCCAATTTGTTCGCCATCTCTTTTACTTCTTCGTCCCCGCAGGCATCTATCCTTCCATACCTGGAGGTCGTCTTCGTTGTAGTAGTATCTCTTTATCTGGTTTCTTGGCACGTCGCCGTCCTGGCCGACGTCTTTGCTTGCGTGATATCTGGTTCTGAGTCTCCTCATTGCGACCATCTCCTCACCACGTTGAGTCTGAACCGCGATGTTTTCCACTCCTAGCAGGGATTTCGTCGCCCCAACCTGTATCCTTCTCCGTCGCTGGCTCATCTATTGTCCGTTTCCCACAGGATAGCGCCAAATTGGTATGAGTGATTTTCTGATACACACTGCCAACTCAGTATTCAGCTGGAGAGCACTGGGCAGAATAGATGACGCCTGCTGACCTGCAACAGAAAGAGAAGATTCTGGCGGTGCTTCGTCCACCTGAGGCACGCCCCTCGAAGATCAAGTCAGTATATCTCTCAAAGATAATCAATAGTGCTAAACTCACTGTTCAGAATATAAATTGCGTACCTTAAACCCATCAGAGGGTGCCTCTCTTTTATAGCTAACTCAATCCTAGTCTCATTAAAAGCCTAGCTTCAATGACTCTTGCTCAGTGCTCATCATGGACTCTCCAATAGATAAAGATAAAACTCTCTAAGAGCTTTATCCTTATCCAGGCTGAAGTCCTTCCCCATCTAGGACTCTTGTCCCTTATCTGCTTATCTCGGATTTCGATATCCTTGGAGATAACCTCGGCATCACGACCAGGACATGTGGACCTCGGCTGTAACCTCGGCTCACCTTGGCCACGTGTTGGACTCAGAAAATATATCCTCACAAACATAAAAAAAAGGGCTCTGTGGTGTCATCACGGCCCCGTTGGGCCCTAGCCCCGGGGTAACTAATTGCCAGCTAGGAATTAACCCGCACCAAGTGAGGGACCCACCACCAAGGGCACCCAATGGAAGGCATCCACATGCCGCAGCCGAGAAGGGTTCAAGGGGAGTATGAGTGTGTTCACAGGGAGTGATTTCAAACGCCCCTCCAGGAATCGACCCTGACTCTCGGCTAGGGAAATGTGTGCGCATCCTCCACCAGGCCACCAACCCTGGTGGTTTAATCATGCATTCATTCATGCTCTCTATTTCATACCCATTCAATTACGCATTATTGCACATCACGGGTGGTAGCCTAAGGCTTGGTTTGGGAAGTGATACTTTTGGCTTTTTGACTATTTTAGCTATTTAGTCTGGACTAAAAAGCTTGATTAGGAAAGGGCTTTTTGGTTTTTTTGGTTTTTTTTATTTTTTTTGTGAGAGAAGACTGTAATGATTATGGATTGGATGTGATGTGTTTTGTGGCTAAAATAGCCTATTTTGTCTTTTGTGGCTAAAATAGCCAAAAAAGCCTAGCAATCAACTTACCAAACGGAGGAGTATTCTTCGTGTGACTCGAATTTAAATTCTAGGAGAGTGAAATATTAAGGTACCGTTGTAACACTGTGCTGTTGGTAACACCTACGTTTTCTGTTTATATTTACAAAAATTTAAAAAAACTCAAATAAAAACTTGTTTGGAAATTTTTGATTTATAAATCAATTATCTCAGTTTATAAATTTGGCCAAAAAATGAAAACACAAAAAATGTGTTTCCATTTTGAATTTTCAGTTTTTTTTTTTTTTACCACCCAACACTAGCCACCACCCGCCACAATTTTCCACCACCGTCTTCCGCCACCACCACACCCCTCCACCACCACCTTCACCACCACTCACCCACCCACCTGCCACACCACCTACCAGTTGCACCACCACCCACCACCCACCCACCACCACCCTCCACCCACCTACCACCCACTCACCACCACCATCCACCCTCGGCACCACCACTACCACCACCACCTGCCATCCACCCCCCACCACCCGCCACCCCACTACCATCACACCGCCGCCGCCCACCACACCCGCTACCTACTTCCACCACCACTCACCAGCCACCTGCCACCACCTGCCACCACCACTACTACTACCACCACCACCCACTCGCTACCACCTACCACCCGCCACCGTCACCAACCCACCACCACCACACCCGCCACCTGCTACCACCACCACCACCCACGCCGCCACCACCACTACCACCACCCACTTCTATCACCCATCACCACTGTCACCCACCCACCCACCACCCATCCCACTCCCTGCCCCACCACCTACTCGCTACCACCCGTCACCGTCACCCCCCACCCACCACCACCACCCCACCACCACCACCCGCCACCGCCACGCCACCACCACCACCACCACCCACTCGCTACCACCCACCACCCGTCACCGTCACCACCTACCACCACCAGCAACCAACCACCAACCACCCAGCTACCCACACCCACCGTCATCACTTTCCACCACCGTCTTCTGCCGCCACTTGCTATTTCTCACTCTTTTTATATTTTTAAAATTTTTTAAAACATTTTGTCAATTACCGAAACGCGTTTTGTAATTTATTTTTCAAAAAAATAAACAAAAACTAGTTTATAAAATTTTTGTAAATATAAACTGAAAACGTAAACGTTACTATCTTTTTATATCTGTTTGGTAACATTTACGTTTTCTTTAATATACAAAATTTTATAAACTGGTTTTTGTTTATTTTTTGAAAAACATAAATTACAAACGCGTTTGGTAATTGACAAAATGTTTAAAAAAAATTAAAAATATAAAAAAGAGTGAGAAATGGTAAGTGGCGGCAAAGAACGGTGGTGGAAATGGTGGTGGTGGGTGGGTGGTGAAGTGGTGGCAGGTGGGTGGCGGATGACGGTGGTGGTGGGTGGGTGGTGGGGGTGACGGTAGCGGGTGGTGGTGGGTGGTGGTGGTGGTGGCGGCGGCACGGCGGTGTAGTAGAGACAGGTGGGTGGCGGGTGATGGTAGGTGGTGGCGGGTGGTGACGGTGGAGGGTGGTGACGGTGGTAGGTGGTAACGAGTAGGTGGTGTAGCGGAAGACGGTGGTGGAAAATGATGGCGGGTGGTGGCTATGTTGGGTGGTAAAAAAAAAAAAAAAACTCAAAACTCAAAACAGAAACACATTTTTGAGTTTACATTTTTTGGTCAAATTTATAAACTGAGACCACTGATTTATAAATCAAAAATTTACCAAATAAATTTTTATTTGAATTTTTTTAATTTTTATAAATATAAATAGAAAACTGAAAACATATTTCTTTTCTTTCTTTTTTTTGAAAAATTCACTCTACATTTTGATTGAAATCTGAGTTCATATAACATGTAATTGAACTTTATTGATACCTCAATAATAAATCGTTTCTTACGGATTAGATTAAATTAAGCAGACAAAGCATTCTTTTTTTATCGCTCAAAACAAAAAACAAAAAAAAATCACGCATTGTTGCACCGCACAACCCTTCACACACACTCTCTCTCATCCAAATATCCAACCATCCACCAGTCAAATTGAAAAGAAAATCTTAACATGAAAGAGAAAATATAGGCGAGGCAAAAAGATTGATACACATCAGCATTGTCACATTCATCGACTATAAATTTTTTTGACTTATTTAAATTTATGTATGTCTAATTCCTTTTTTGAATTATTCAAATGTATGCATGTCTAATTCGTGCATGTGAATCTTTTGGTCGGTTATTTGAAAGTCATTTGATCAGTCATCTAACGGATGTTAACTAACACACCGATAGACAAAAATGATAATTACAATTGACAAGAATAACAACCGTGATTAACAAGATGCCGGTCGTCTAATCAATTGTCCGGCCAAACATTTGGCTTATATAATTCAAACAATTCAGCCGAGTTCAAATTCGAAAGACCAATCATTTTGGATAGATATTGAAAACCAAAAGAAAATACACACAAAATAAGCAATACTCAGCAAAATATACAAATCCAGTGGCTCAAAACAGACAACATAGTATTCCCTTAAGGAAGCACAAATATGCTGGTCCACTTTAGCCAGCAACTGATTCAATCCCTCTTCACAGCAGCAGTGGAGAATAATTTAACAAATCTAGTACACACAAAATTTTCACATAATGAAATGTAAATGTGAAAGGATAGGAGTCTCATCCTTTTATCAAACAACTGTATCCTATTCCTAAAATATCTTATTACTGAGGGTTGGGCGGGCGGCTGTTGGCAGCGGAGACTCTTGATCCCCATTCAAGCAGCTCTTTGCTAGTGTCATCCTTGTGGACTATCACTTCTATAAAGCACAAGCAATCTTTCTTTGCACCCGTGGCTGTCTCAATTGCTTCAGTGAGCTCTTCTTCACATCGCACCTGAAACAATGAAATTCAACAAAAGGTTGTCACAATTATTAATCATTGTCCCATTTCGATGCATTAACGCAAACGCATTGAGATTTTCTGACTCACCTTAGTTGTCCAGCACTTGCCTTCGCCATTATGGATTGCATCAACCAAGCCAGTGTAGTTCCAGTTCTTGATCACATTGTAAGGCCCATCATGGATTTCGACTTCTATGGTGTATCCACCATTGTTTATCAGGAAGATGATGCTCTTCTGTCCGCATCGCAGCATTGTCGACACATCTTGTGCAGTTACCTGCCAAAGCATTTGCCAAAAAAGTGTTAAAACTCACCCAAAATCCATGTATGCACTCTCAACTGTACAAAATAGAATCAGGCATTTGTATGTATACCTGGAAGCTACCATCACCAATGCAAGCAATCACTCGTTTGTTCTGTGCAGCCTGAGCATATCCAAGTGTTGCACCTACTGACCAACCAATTGAACCATATTGCATCTGGAACTCGTACCTGAAAAACCCAATTTCACAATATTTGTTAAAAACCATAAAATGTGAGCAAAACCAAAAATCAAACTCTTTTTTCGAGTGTTTTGTGTCCAGTTCCGTGACCTGTTATAGCTCAAAAACACAACATTCTCTCCACTACTTACCCACATCCCTCAGGCAATTTCAGCTTCTGGCAATTAAACCAAGAGTCCCCTGTCTCAGCAATCACTGCTGTTTCACTTGACACCATCTTCTGAATATGCTGGAACAGAACATTGACCCTTAAGGCCTCTTTAGGCTCACATTTCAGAGGATGCCCCTCAGGAACATGGATCCTATGGTAATTCTCATAAGCAGTCTTGTTGCACTTAAGCCGCTTCGCAAGAGCTCTCAAGAAATCCTTCATCAGAACACACCCAAATGTAGGGCCATTCGCAATCACCACGCGATCAGGATGCATGATGATCGCCTTCTCTTTCTTCAGAAGCAAAGAGTACCCAACAGAGCTGTAGTCATTGAAAATGGGTCCTGCAAACAAATAAGCATCCGCGGATTCCACGATTTCAGCGCAAAAGGCAGTGCTCACCGCGCCCCAATAAGTCCCAATGAAACGAGGATGGTGTTCGGGCACAAGCCCTTTGGCCGATGGCATCACTGCGAGAGCATAGCCACAAGCATCAGCTAATTCAACAAATGCTTCACAAGCTTTAGCCACTCGAAGTTTCGGCCCACCCACCATTACTGGCTTCACTGCCTTGTTTAGGAGCTCTGCTGTTGCTTCCACTGCAGCTTCCAAACCCATCTGATTACTCAACCTGTACACCCACAAAAATCACAATCAGTACAAATTGAACCAAGAATTCTACATACCCAGATCATGAAATTCAAAGATTTACCTTGGGGAGAGAAAGAATGGGACTGGTTCGCGGCTAAAAGTGGGATGTGGAATTGCAGGCAAGTTACAGCTTATGCTGATGTAAACAGGCTTGCTTTCTTTCAATGCGGTTGAAATTGCAGTATCGATCAGTTCATGTGCATCCTCCAAGTAGTTCACAACAGCCTAATATCATCAAAAACAAAACAATCCCATCAAAACCCACAATTCACACAAGGATTTCACTTCATCAACAGAATGACATTCCATTTCTAATGTATTTTTTATTATTTTTAATCAACCAAATCTGAAAATAGATGTTTGGGTAAAACTTAAAAAAATAAATAAATAAATAAATAAATCTACAGCGGATCTTATAAACAAAATAAATCCTAAATTTTAACTAAAATCGATGAAAATTTTGTATTTTAATTATTAAAATTAATATAATTGCACGTAAAATATCTAAAATCCTCTTTTTGTTCAGTTTAATAACTTTTTTATTTTATTTTACTTAACATTTAAATTAAAAATAAATTAAAATTTTCAAAATTTAAATTAACAAAATTAAAAAATACATATATTTATTTTAATCAAATAGTCAATCCTAGGATTTTTAATTTTTATTTTTTGTAATTTTTCCAAGCAATATTTTTTTAAATGTTTCATACTGTAGATGTTTTTAGTGAAGTTCACTACAATAAAATGATTACTAAAACATTCATATTCGCTAAATTTAATTATAAAAGAAAGAAAAAGAGGGGGACAAAAGTAGGTGGATAGTTGGATTAAAAAAAAAAAGAAAAGAAAAAGTGGTAGTTGACAGAGTGGGAGTAATATATGAGAAGAAACATATACATATATAGATAGATTAAAATAAAGGAAATCGGAGTGGGCTTGGGCGGTGGGAAGGGACCAGAGAGAGAGAGTAAAGGGCATTGGTTAGTGGGATTGACTAGTGGTTGGAAGATGGAACTGTGTTAACAGTAGCTTTCACTGAGGGTTCTCTGTCATCAATGTTTCCTATCAAGTGTTCATGTTTATCAAGTGTGCATGTTTATCAGCAATGTCTTGAGATTCTTGTTGCCTGAGAACTTTTCTCAGATATCGAGCCGAGGGTGAGGTTGAAGTCGCCGGGGACTGAGAAGACGTCGGTGACGCCGATCTGGACGAGCCGGCGAGCGAGATGGCGGCCCATGGTGGAGTCGGCTGAACCGATGAGGGTGGAGTTTTGGATGGTGGAAACGACGCCGTTGTGGGGGAGGCTGCCGACATCGTTGCAGGTGACGTGGCAGGCGTCGACTGCTCCGATCTTAGTGTCCATTGGGTGAAATGGAAAATAGGAAAACTCACAAGCGCACACACACTATACTTCAATTAAGAGAGATATGTATAAACAAATGAGAGGAGTTAGAGAGAGAGAGAGTGGGGAGGTTTAGTGGTGGGTTTGGTTTTTTAATTGTGAGAGGAAGAGAGATGGGTTGAGAATTTATATGGGTGGTGATGGTGGAGGTACTGGTGGTGGATTAAATACAAGGGGCGGGTTTTGGATTCTGGGAAGTCTCTGCTATCTCTATGTTCTCTTGCGCAATTACAGATAAAATCAACGTCAATTGACCACAGTGATCAGAAGGCAGATGTGCGGCAACACGCTGTCATTGGGTCCCATTTTTTAGACCTGTTTTAATAATTTTAACTATTTATTTTTTAAGGTATATTTAAATAAAATATATTAAAAAAATAAATTGATGATTAATTATTTTATTAAATAATATTTGTATTTATAACCGAAAAAAAATGTAAAATGTGATTTCAAATTTAGGTCAGGTTTGGCAACTTACAAAAAAAAGTAAAAAGTTAAAAAGTCAAAAAGTCACTATCATATTTAAGTTACATCATCTCATTTAAGTCACATCACCTCTCTAACACATCACTTCAAACCCAACTCATATTTTATAAAAAGTCAAAAAGTGCACTTATTTAGAACATCTCAAACAACCCTTTAGGCTAAGTTTGGAAAGTCCCAAATAATCCATCTTTTTATCTTTTTTTCATCACATCATCTCTCTACTTTTCTGCACATCTTTTCGTAAAAAGACAAAAAGTGTACTTATTTAGGTTATCCCAAACAATCCCTTACAATTAAACCCAAATACTAGTCGATAAAAGGGTTATTGATGTCTGTTCAATTTATTGTTTACAAATATATTTTATTCAACCTCCGTTTGAGAAGTGGGTTGGCTTTTTGATTTTTTTGACTATTTTAGCCTAGGCTAAAAAGCTTGGTTTGGGAATGACTTTTCAATTTTTTTGATTTTTTTGAATTTTTTTGTGAGAGAAGAGTGTAATGATTATAGGTTGGATTTGATGTTTTGTTTGTTGTGGCTAAAATAGCCTATTTTGTCTTTTGTGGCTAAAATAACCACAAACCAACTTCCCAAACACAGCTTGAATATATCTGTAACGCCCTCGAAAACAAAACACTAAAGCCCATCAACATAGACATGCATTGGAAATAAAGATAAACATTCTTCTATTCATCAGAGTAGTTCTTTACAAAAGTATTACATGTTAACAACAAAAGCAAATGCCCTACGGGCTTACAGCTTTCCAAGTTAACACTTTGTTACAAAAAGAGAGTACTAACTCAATACATATAAAGCCCTTGGCTTGAATTTACATGTAATACACCAAAAGAAAATAAACAAAACAATCCGTCTGCCTCTGGCCTTCCAAGCTATATCCTTGGAGGTGGCATACTACCTGTACCTGAAAATGAAGTCCCATAAAGGGTGAGCCACAGCCCAGTAGAGATATGCTAAACACAATATGAGCAATGACTAAGACATTAGCAATTGATAAATGTTCAATTTTCATAAACCAATTCATAATCCATTTTCATTTCTTATCAATTTCACAATTTCCATCAACGGCTCAGAACCTGGCCAACCACTTATATGAGACAAAGACTCATATTAAACATTTTCCATTTTTACAATAGATAAACACACTGGTTATATCAATATCTCAACAGATAAGCATACAAGTTGTATCCACATTTCAACAGATATGCATATTAGCTATATCAACACTTCCAATGACAAGCATATGAGCTGTATCAACACTTCCAAAGATAAACATATAAGCTGTATCAACACATTTTCTGACAAGCATATGAGCTGTATCAGTGGAGTCCATCCACTATCTACTCCCAAACAACATCCGATTTAGAGGTTCATCCTCTATCTTCCCCTAAACCGTGGAGTACATCCCATATCTCCTCCCACACACACAACATATATACACAAAGGTCATATACGCAATCAATCAATACATAACGTTAATGTATTCTATCAACCGTCATACTCAATGACATATCCAATTGATTAGTTTTAGTTTGCCTAATCATCATGCATTATCTACAACAATCAAAACTACCCTCCACCGGTAGCCCAAGCAATTATTTCTAAACAGATAATAAAAGCTCCAACAGATAAAATATCGATGTTTTCAAAAGTGAGCGATTAATAAATCTAACTCCACTATTCAACCATATAATGAACCGATTTCATTATTTCCAACTCAATTCCATAAGTTTATAATTCTCCCAAATTAATTATGCCAATTAATTTATACAACAAATTAGGGTTTTCTACCCCATTTCTCAATATTGACCCAATGGCCTAATATCAACAACCAACAACTATATCATCACTTTGAAACCCAAAATACAAGTTATGAGCCCAAAATCACAAAACCCTTTTTACACATTTTGAAACCCTAAGTCTCAAAATTTTCCAAGTTCAACACTCTATCAAAACAACTAAGAATCTAGGTCAAAGACCATAAGAGTGAGTAGGAATCCCTACCTCACAAGATGACACCCAGCGAAGAAGATGATGAAAACGAACTTGCTCCAAACCACGAGTTTCTCGGATCAAAAGATAGCCGTCGACGATCAACAACTCTTTTGTAAAGGCCAAAGGTGAGGAAAACACCCTAGCTAGATCAATACTTAGAGAGAAGTTAAGGTTTTAGAGAGAGGTGCTCTCTAATGGATTTTTCGAAAAAGTAAGAGAGAGAGAGAGAGAGAGAAAGTGATTTAAAACTGCCCCACAGCCAACTGATATACGACATTCACGCTCGAGCGGAAAACACAACGCTCGAGCGTCAAGAACAAAAACTAGGTCTTCTCGAGCGCAAAAAGGCCCGCTCGAGCGCCAAGACACAAGAATAAAGCACATCCGCTCGAGCGCGAAAACCAGTCCGCTCGAGCGTAGGTTTCCCTCTCCCAGAACTTACACCGAAAAGGTACTACCCGCTCAAGCGTCAGAATGCCCGCTCGAGCGTAAAGAAACCCGCTCGAGCGTAAAAATCACACCTGCAGAAGTTTTGCAGGGACACAAAATACTGGGAGTGTGCAATCCCCGCTCGAGCGCAAGAAGACCCAC